AACCACGTGGAATCTGGCAATATAATATTTTAAATAGCTTTTAAAATTCTAGGTTTGAGAAGTTTTTTTTCTTTTTTCTTTTTTGTTCAAGACCAGGACTTGAACATATCTCACACTTTCACTCTACCACACGAGCCATACCTCCAACCCTAAGAAATTCTGTAAATCATACTATTCTAACTTCGTTTAGGTATGGTGCTGAAAATATATATCCTTTGAAATCTTTTATTTCTTATAATGCTTTTAAAGATGAGAAATCTGGGGGCTGGACTGCATAGCTAATGGTATGCATAGAGCTTGGATCTGAGTCTGATATTCTAATTTCGAAGTCTCTTACCTTAATTGCCTCCATCTCATCGTAAGGGAATCTTAAGTAAAGCCCAGATAGATTGAATACCCTTCTTTTTTCTTCTCCATAGTGCTCTTCACTGCTCACGCCTCCTGAAGTATCTCTATCAGACTGGCCTCTCTCTCTTGGATGTGTCTCTCTAGTTGTTTTTATTAGAATCTGGTCAGTCATTATTTGCTATGTCCCTGACGTGGTGTCACATCACTTTGAAGTGATTAACTAGGAGCTCAAACACATGGGGCAGAGGAGTGACCTGGTTGCCTTGGGGTTTTTTTGTTTGTTTGGGTTTTTTTTTTTTTGGTCCTTTATGGCTGTTTTATTTTTTTTCCAGGGCTAAGGATTCAACTTGGGGCTTTGTACTTGCCAGGCAAATGTCCTTCCACTGAGCTAAATCCTCAATCTACAGGACATCTAATAGGAATTTGTTTGGAAAGAGAGAGAGATGGGAGACAATAATAGGGTTCTAAGAAAATAAAACTGCTAGGGAGATTAAGATGTGGTAAATGAAGTGATTCTTGATTGGCATAAATTAGTATAATATCTCTGGTATCTTAAAGTTTTCATATTTAAGCATTATATACTAGAATACTATAGTTAGTACTTTTAACTTTGTTAATTCAAAAGTAGGTAACATTGTCTACAAAGTTTAAATATAATAAACTTTATGATCTATCAAGTTTGTGTTTTCACTATCTGACCATTAGGTTCTGCCTTCCCTCGATGCACATTTTAGAGTGCTTGACTGACTAGCCTAGTCACCTCTGTGCCTCGGATCCTCTCCTCTTTCTGCTGCTTCTGGCTCGACAAACTTAAAATACTGCCTGGCTTCAATCCCACCTCTGTGTTCCCTGCTCTGCATCTATGCAACTCTTACTTCTGGTGTTTACTTCAGTTCTTGGTCATTAAATTCAAGAGGGCCTTAGTACTATCAGCAGTCCCAGTATGTTTCCCTGTCCGCTCTTCCATTTTCATGGAGCATGCTTTCATACGTTTCATCTGCAAAGACCCAGTGCATCTTCTTTGTACCACATTCTTTCTTTTTTCTTTTGTTGGTTGTGGGGCTTGAATTCAGCCTGGGTGCTGTCTCTGAGCCTCTTTGTGCTGAAGGCTAGCTCTCTTACCCCTTAAGCCACAGTGCCACTTCGGTTTTTGAATGGCTACTTGGAGATAAGAGTCTCACAGGGACTTTACTGCCCAGCCTGGCTTCGAACCATAGTCCTCACCTCTCAGCCTCCTGAGTAGGTAGGATGACAGGTGTGAGCCGCAGGTGCCCAGCTCTACTGTATTCTTAACTGAAGTCTTTACATCTTATCTCACTGAAACAAAAGAAGCAGTGAGAAAATTAGATCTACCAACTCCCCTTTGCATCTGTGTCTTAACTGCATTTGCCCTGCTATCCTCTTTCCCTGCCTGCTCTAGCACTGAGCTGTCTATATACTCTTTTTAAAAATTTTAATTTTATTGTCAAGGTGATGTACACAGGGGTTATAATTACATATGAAAGGTAGTGAATATATACTCTTGATTATAGCTACTTTTTTCACATCCTTTCTTCTCTACTTAAGAAATTGGCTTCAGCGAACTTTACAACTTTGGTGCGGGGCGGGGGGGGGTGCTGAGGGGAGGATTGGGTGGAGGGGGGAGGATGAGAAGGGGAAACAAAGGAGGAAGCTACAATGCTTGATAAGAAATGTACTCATTATCTTGCCCATGTAATTGTAACCCCTCTGTACAGTATTTTCACCAAAAAAAGTTAAGAAAAAAAAAGAAATTTGCTTCAGAAATTCCTTTACATCTCATCGAAATTATCTTTATTTGGAATTTTTACTCTGGATTTATCTATTTGGAAAATATTTACTGAGTGTTTGCCATGTGTCAGGCAGATACCTGTAATACCAGCTACTTAGGAAATGGGACCAGAAGTATCATGAGTTCAAGGTCAGCCTGGTGAAAGTTAGTGAGGCACTATCACAGGAAACAAAATCTAAACAAAAGAATGTGCCAGTGTAGCCTATGTTCCCGTTAAGAAGATAGATAATAAGAGAAGTATACCATGTAAGCAGTCATATTTTACAGATAATGTAAATGTTACAAAATAGAAAGTGGAGCTGATGAAAGAAGTGGTGGAGTCCTGAGTAAGAGGACTGTAGATTGATTGCCACAGTAGGCTTCAGTATGAAGACTAGATTTAATCTGAGACTTAAGGAGAGAGTGGGCCAAAGATACATGAGAGAGAAGGTTGCCAGGCAGAAGGCATAACTTCATAAAAGGCACTGTGCAGAGAGAAAGTAGTGTGTTAGAGAAATATAAGGTGTCTGATGGGGCCGTGTGAGAATCCCGGAGGCAAAGGAGAAACTCCAGCACAGGCGAGGTGAAATGAGATAAGACCCTATCAGTCATTTCAGGCCTCCATCTTCTAAATATTTACTGAATCAAAACACAGCATCTTTGGGGGGCATGATGTGCATTTTCAGAAGATTTCTGGCTGCTGTATTGAGAATGACTTACTGTGGGTCAGCAGAGAACTGCTGTGATTGTCTGAGGTATAGAAGTGGTGAGAAGTAATCTGAAACTGGATATTCAGAAGCAGTGAGTTGATGTGAAGTGAAAAGTAGACCGCAGGTGATTCCAGAGTTTTTGGCTTGAGCAATTGAAAGTTGCAGTGCCTGTATCTGAAATGAAGAAAACCTGGATACAGATCAGCAGAAAGAACAGAAGCAGGAGAATTCCCAGTTCACTGTGAAATGTATGCAGATATCTCAGAACACCTGCCCTTAACTTACATGACCTCTCAACACTTTGGAGTAAGAAGATTCTGGCTTTCGATATTGGGTAGTAAGAATTTGAAGTAGAATTGCATGAGTGCAAAACCCAGGTAAGAGTAAATACTTCCAATATAAAAGAGGAAGACCACTTCCTGGCTGAGTGTAGATGACGGGAAATATGAAATATGGAAGCCTAGAAGGGGAGTGGAACTAAAGGGAAAGATCCCATGTTTAGTTGAAATATGGTCCCAGTAGTTCAAGGTAGAAGTGACGCTCTTTATGTGCCCCTTTCAATGCTCTCGAAGCATGCACATGCATGCGAAGCATGCACTGCTCTGAAGATACACACCCCACTCCTGACACATGCCTTAAAATAGAGACCCAAAATGGAAAGATACCTGGATTTTTATATTAGAGAACTTGAAAGATGTTGGCTAAAATCATGAAAGACTGTTAGGAAAGAGAAGAAAACTAAACAGAGAAGCTTGGGTGAATTATCTCTTTCAATGTGGTGTCCACAGAGGATTAGTCTAATGTTAATTGTGTCTTGAACCTTAAAGATGTAAAGCAGGGGCTGGGAAGGTGGCTCAGCGTAGAGCGCTTGCCTCACTTGCATGCCTGAGGCCCTGGGTTTGATTCCTCAGCACCACATAAGCAAAAAGAGAAAAGCGGGAAGTGGCGCTGTGGCTCAACTGGTAGAGCGCTAGCCTTGAGCTGAAGAGCTGAGGGACAGCGTCCAGGCGCAGAGTTCAAGCCCCACAACCGGACCAAAAAAAAAGATGTAAAGCAGTAGACAATGGTTGTTGTTGATGAAGAAAGGACAAGACGTGAGCAGTGTTGAACTTGTGGACTATGGGTAAAGAAGTTTCTTTCAGAAGTGTAGTATTTATAGACAGCTCTGCCCTTTCTCTTGAAATCGACCATTTACATTTTATTTTAAAGTATACTCAGGTGTGCATCTAGTAATAATAGTCTTTATTCAGACTTATTATTATTGAATTTAACTCCATACTCATAGTTTTTATTATTAAACCACAAACGAATAATTTTTCCTCTCTCAACTTCTGAAGGCTTGAGAAATGACATTATCCAAGATTGTATAATTAGAAAAAAATCAAATCCTAGTACATTAGTGTCATCGAGTGCATACTTTTACTAACTTTAAAGTCTTATATATTCACTGACAGAATTCTTGTAGTAACTATAAATACTAAGATTTATAGGCAATTTAATATAGCAAAAGGTAGCAATTGCCAAGTACCAATGACTCATGACTAATCCTAGCTACTCAGGAGATGCGCTTCAATACAGCCTAGAGAAGGAAAATTCTGTAGAACTGTGGCTTAAGTGGTTGAGTGCTAGCCTTGGGCAAAAAAGTTCAGGAACAGTGCCTAAGGCCAGAGTTCAAGCCCTAGGATTGTCACTTACATGTGTGTCTGTGTGCACACATACACACACAAGATAGAGATAAATGGTTATCTTCTTAAAATGATAAAGTGTACCATAATACTATGCTAAGTGCATAACAAGGGATAAGTATCAATGAGAATAGAGAAGAAACAGTTTCGGACCTAGGTTTATAAAAATACTTCATGGAAGGAATGAGACTGGACTTCAGAAGATTACCTGGACAGATAGAGATGGTATGTGGGTGGGAGTACAAGAGAGGCACTGCACATGGCTAGCAGTAACAGCTAATGTTAAATATAAGGTAAAACAGGTCTGTGTGGGAGAAATAGTTAAAATGGAAGGGAAGGGAATGCTAAGACATTATAGAAAGCAATGAGGTTGCACCAAGTTTGGTGTGGAGTAGCTCTCAGTTATCACCAGTTATTTCGTGGCTTTTAAGTACTTGCATGTTTAAAGAAATTCTGTTTTATTTCTAGAATGCCAGTTAATGAAAACAGAAAGACCAAAGCCAAATACATTTATAATCAGATGTCTACAGTGGACCACAGTTATAGAGAGAACATTCCATGTTGATACTCCAGAAGAAAGGTAAGAGACTTGTCTTATCCATTTTGTGAAAAAGCAGCAATCTAAAGATGTGTCGTTTCTTGTATCATACAAAAATAACTGGAGCTGGGCGCTAGTGGCTCACGCCTGTCATCCTAGCTGCTCTGGAGGCTGAGATCTAAGGGTCGAAGTTCAAAGCCAGCCTAGGCAGGAATGTCCATGAGACTCTTATCTCCAGTAAACCACCAGAAAACCAGAAGTGGTGCTGTGGCTCAGGTGGTAGAGTGCTAGCCTTGAGCTGAAGAGCTGAGAGGCAGCACCCTGACCCAGAGTTCAAGCCCCACGACTGACTAAAAAACAAACAACAACAAAAAAAACCGAACTGGAGCTTGCAAAATACTAAACCAGGACTGCTAAGCATAATGTAAGTTACAATTCTTCAGAGAAAGTAGAACATTTTCCAAACTACCTTTTTCTTAAATCATAGACTTGATTGTATTCTTATTTTAAGTTCTGAGGAAAATAGGATAGTCAAGGTTTCTAGTAGTGTGCCCTTTTATATTAATTGCAAGTGCCTGCTTGGAGTTGACAGGCCTTCTGCCACTGGTTCTAACTCCACATAAGGGGAGCATTAGGATGATTAGCATGACTGACTGCTCCCTATTGTGGAAGAGAGAAACTGCAGCACATTACAGCCAGCTCACTGACTCTTGCATGGTCTTCTTCCATCCTCTTGATCTACACTCAGACTTGGCGAACACCTTCCCTCCCTCTCGTTCTGGCTTTCTAGTCTTTTATCTGGTGAATTCATACTGTAGGTCTGGGGACTACAAACACAAAATGATTTTCCCAGACGTATGTTATCATATAGGATCTTAGTTGTTGAAGTTAAATGCCTCATTTTCAAATGAGTAAATTAAACTTTTCTTATAATAGTCTTCTAAGATCTTAATTAAACCAAAAAAATCTAAAAATCTTAAAAGACAACATTTATTTAATTACTTTTTTTACAGAGCTAAGAATGGAGCATAGGATTTTGTAAATGGGAGGCAAATGTTCTACCATTGAGTTAAAATTCTAGACCTACCTGAAGTTATTGTTTTCCTTCTAAAACATTATTTTGATAACAATTATAATGCTTAATTACCTTAGAAAATACAGGAAAGAAAAATAGAAAAGATATAGAAAATTCTCATAATTGTAATTCTATAACCAGAATTTAGCATGATAATCTTATTTTCTATGCTTCCAATATTCATAACCTGTAGTGTGTCCTCCACACCCCTGCCTGACTCCCGCTCTACTTCCCACCCCTCATCTGCACTGCACGTTTTCATGTAACAAGTTCAATAATCATGTTTGGGTTAATTCCTATCAGTCTCTCAGATCTTAACATGACAATTTTTCCACAAAACCTGACTTTTGTAGACTAGATAAGTAGGTTCCCTGTCTGTACTAATTCATATGTATCTCTTGTCTTTCATACCGAGCATGTCATGACTGTTCTTGGTCTTAGTAAGTAACCTCCCTTCCTCTCTCCCTCCCTCCTTCCCGCCCTTTCCCTGTCCCTTCCTTTCTTGCCTTTCTTTCCCTTTCTTTTCTTTTTAAAATTTACCATCTATAGATGCTCAGCTCCTGCTCAGAGTCACCTCCTTCCTCCCTCCCTTTCCCCCTTCCCGGTCTCAGCGGACTTCATGTTCCATTTGTCTCACCTACTCCTACTAGTAACCACATCCTAAATCAGACCTGTTTCAACTTCACAATACTCATTTTTTTAATATGCATACAAATTTCTCAAAAGAATTTACCATGGTATCTCACACATATGTGTACTTTAATCAAATTACATACATTCCTGTATGTGTTTACATGTGTTTATCTTTTAGGTCTAGCATCCAAGTATGAATGAAAAGATGACTTTTGTCCTTCTGAACCTGGCTTACTTAGTCTGAGGTCTTCAGATCCATTTATTTGCCTACAAATGATATAATTTCATCTTTTTGTGGCTGAATAGTAGTCATTGTATAGATATATTGTATTGTCCTGATGCATTCATCAGTTATAGGGTTATTTCCATAGCTTGGCTACTGTGAATGAACCTTGGCTGCTGTGATGAACCTGGCTGTGCAGGTGTCTATTATTCCTCACTCACGTTCCTTTGGATAAATGACAAACATGATATTGCTGGATCTTAGAGTACTTTTACTTTTAATTATTTAAAGGACCTCCATAATAATTTCCATGTTGATTGCACTAGTTTGCATTCCTACCAGCAACGTAAGTGGTTAGGATTCCTTTTCCCCCACATTTTCTTTTTTTTAATATATAATTTTTATTGTAAAGATACTGTACAGAGGGGTTATAGTTACATGAATAAGGTAATGAGTACATTTCCTATCGAGCAGTGTTGCCCCTCATTGTTTTTGCACTGGAATCAAATACAGTGACAACAAGGGTTATACCATGGGGGAAGAACATACAAAAGAAACAAAAGAATCACATAGTACATTAAAAACAACAGTGACAAAGAGAAAACCTCTTGAGTCTCTATCTTGGAGTTCATTTCACTTAGTATCATCTTATATGGCCTTCCCCCACATTTTCATTAGCATTTTGTGGTTATTTATGTTCTTAATGATGACCATTCTGACTGGAGTGATATGAAATCTCAATGTCATTTTGATTTACATTTCCTTTATGGCCAGGAACATTAAGCATATTTCATGTTTTTATCGGCCATTTGTACTTCCTTTTGTGTGGTTGTGAGTATACATACTAGTCTTAGGACTTGAACTCAGGGTCTCAGCACCTTTTCACTCAAGGCTGGTGCTCAATCACTTGAGCCACATCCTACTTCCAATTTTGTGCTGGTTAACAGTCTCACAGGCTTTCCTGCCTGGGCTGGCTTTGAACCACGATCTTCAGGTCTCAGCCTCCTGAGTAGCTAGGATTACAGGCGTGAGCCACCAGCGTTCAGCTGCATTTGTACTTCATTCTAGAAGCATTCTGTAAGTTTCTTGACAGTAAGCATTATTTCTTCCTTCCTGTTTTTTTTTCTTTATCTTAAGCACATAGTCCAATATCTGACCACAGAAGTAATCGATGACTGGTTGAGTGAATGGAACACTCCCATGACACATACAGTCTTTGAAAGTACTATTTATAGTATGTTGATAGTACCTTTTTCAAGCTTGATTTTCTTTGCCCTTTATGTTTATAAAGACAGACTTGAGCTAGAGCTTAAGCACTGAAGTCATTTGCTGCTCTTACTTATCATACTATTCCTCTACATAAGTTTTTATTTATTTTTATGACTAGAAGAAAAAAGTACTTTAAGTAAAAATGAAAGATAGTATATTTATTTTTTACATTGGTGTATGCTTTTCTGTATTCATTAAAAGACTTAACAGTGGCAAAAAATAAAAGTTTCATGCGGGTACTAGTGACAGTATCCTTAAAAAATATTAGCATCATTCATCATCTTCAGTTAATGAGGAATTTCCCTCATTCCTTTCTGTAGGGAAGAATGGACAGAAGCTATCCAGGCTGTGGCAGACAGACTACAGAGGCAAGAAGAGGAGAGAATGAATTGTAGTCCAACTTCCCAGATTGACAATATAGGAGAGGAAGAGATGGATGCTTCTACAACCCACCACAAAAGAAAGGTAGAAGACAGTGGCATCTTAATGGTCTGAACACAGTTGTCTGGGTAAAACAGGTAGTAAACTGCTATTTGAACTCTAGGAAATGGAAACTAGAACAAACTAGAGAACAAATAAATGCTATTTGAGAGGGAGGTCTACCAGTTTTCTTAGGATGTGTATGTGTGGAGTTATTTTGTCCACACTAACCTAAAATACCTATCATTTAAAACCAAATGTGATCAGCACTTCAGCAGTGCCGTGCCCCCAAACAACTTTATTAGTTGCACTTCCCTTGTTTTCATTTTTATAAACTTGGAAATCAAATGTTTTCCCTGAGCGCTTTGCGCCTTTTGCATTTGGCATCCTGTGTTCCACTGAAAGCCCACATAGAAAAGGCTCTGGTGTGTTGGGCACCCCCCTACCCTAGGCCCCTCCCCTGCCCCCCCACACCAGTCCCAGGAAGTGTGACCTTGCAAATGGGGGCTGCTCCTGAGCCAACGAGAAAACAAGCCTCTCCTCTTTTCGACACTCTAGAACAAGGGACACTTGATGTTTCCATGGGAATTATAAATTCTTTTTGCTGCTACAAAAAAAATGTGAAAGAAGCATCCTTAATTCTTTAAAAGGTATCTTAACTCTAAAGATTGAAAGAGAACAACATGTAATTTACCTACATAGAGTTTAGTGTATATGCAATATATAATAGGTTGTAAATGAGTCTTCAGATGAGGAAACAAAAATATTCAGTGTTATATGTGAAATTTGTTTTATTTGTTTTCTTAGTCTTTTGTAGGAAAAGAGGTAGGGGTAGAACCCAGGGCCTTGTGCACGCTGCACAAATATGCACAAGGTGTATCTTCAGCCCAAAATTTGCCATTAATGCATTGATTCAGAGCTCTTTGGAGCTAGACTGCCTGGGTTGAAATCCTTCCTTTTCCACATGTGAACTTAGTAAAATGATAGTTACAGCTTTATAGACTGACTTCATAGACTTCTCTCATGCCAAATTTTTGTTTTAATTAAAATTATATTTGATGTTTAGTTTTGGCAAGATATGTGCACACATTTTCTCTTTTATAGGCTTAGCCTTGTTTAAACTGAGTGTCGGTTTAACTTACCTGGTTCCTTATTCAAAAAGAAAAACACAATGGGACAGTATGGGGGAGGGAAAGAGGGAGAAAAATGAGGGAGAGTTAACAGGTTCGACAAAAAAATGTACTCACTACCTTATGTACTGCAACCCCTCTGTACATCACCTTGACAATAAAATAAAAAAAAGAAAAACAATCTAGTTTTACCTACTTGCTTAGAGATAAGAAATTTCAATTTGTGCACATAGGTGCACATGTACATCATTAACTTGAAATTTTTATTATAAATTGATAAATTTAAAATTAAATCGCAATAAACATAATCCTTTGAATTTTATACCATCCCATTCAAAAGCTATACCATTTTTAAAAACCTATACTATTTTTTTAAAGCTACCCTATTTCGTTTTCTGGAATCCCTAAAAATCTGCCAGATTTAAAGGCTGGTTCTGGAGCCAGCAAAGTGCCTTTGATTGTAATCTTTATGTTCAAAGCAGGGGCCAGTCTACTGGGAGGGGAAGCGAGGGTGCGGGCAGAGAAAACAGCTTGGTGCAGTGGGTAGGCAGACGCTCCTGGAAACGTCTAATACTTCTGCCTTTGTCACCTTTACTGTTAGTACTGGCTGGAGTCGATGATGTCTGAGATTTTTGCAAGGCATATCTGCAGCTTATTTTCTATAACTTATTCCATCTGTGTGCATGCTTGCTTTCCATACCAACCTTTTTCTACAAATGTATATGTCTGAGTCAAGCAGAAAAGGTCAGATAAGTTGATGTTAGGGGAATGAACTCCCAAGTATTCAAATGTTTTTTCTCTTTCGTGCAATTGTTTCTAACATATTTATAAGATGATTTCTATGTTGCTTTGTATGTGCCTACCCCCACAGTATAACCCCTGCTTTCACTGTATTTGATGTTGATATAATTTGTGGAGGTGAAGGGAAAAAACAAATCGTTTAAATAGGGATACAGGTGGACAAGGAGATGTACAAGTCGTTATGTCGAAAAATGAACTTTACAACTTTGGTGGTGGGGGGAGGTGGGGAGAGTATGGGAAGGGATGGGAAGGGGAAACAAAGAGGCGGCAACAATGCTTGATAAAAAATGTATTGCCCATGTAATTGTAACTCCTCTGTATAGCATTTTTACAATAAAAAAATTTTTTTTCAGTAAGTGAAAAATTTCAAGGACTCAAGTTTTCATGGATTTAGTTGTTTTCTCAGAAGTTACAACTGCTATCTTTGTTATATTTCTTTTCACTGAGCTCCAGATGTTCTCAATATTTGTTAAAATATTTTTTTTCTTGGATGCCATCCTTATTTTGTTGGAGTTACTCTCAGGTATCTCCTTCAAAAGTGCTATCCCCTTAGGCATGCTTAGGAATGATGGGGGGATGTTCTTAAGTTCACTAAATCCATGAAAACTTGAGTCCTTGAAATTTTTCACTTACTGGAAATTTTGCATGTTGCGAAATTCTAGGTTCACAATGCTTTTGTCTAGTATTTGAGAACTATTTATTTTTAATATCCATGACTGCTGCTGAGACAGCCAGGAGCAGTCTTATTCTTTTTATTTGCAGTTACTTAGAAATTGGTAAAAAATATATATATTTTTTGAGTGGATGTTACACATATATTTATATATGATAAATTGTGTCAAATAATTTACTACAGACTTTTCTAATTTGTATTTTTCAGACAATGAATGATTTTGACTATTTGAAACTACTAGGTAAAGGCACTTTTGGGAAAGTAATTTTGGTTCGTGAGAAGGCAAGTGGCAAATATTATGCTATGAAGATTCTGAAGAAAGAGGTCATCATTGCAAAGGTAATAGGTTGCAAGAGTTGGGGACAAAGTTTTGTTTGCAGTATGAATGTGTCTTCAGGTCTTTGAGAGAATAAATTGTTTTTTCCTGTCAAGTTTCTAATAATTTGCTGTATCGGCACCAGGAAGTGAATGTACAGATACCTACAGTAAAGACTTTTCACCTACAGAAGGCACCGCCCAGTTCCTGAGTAGGAGACCACGCTGACCCCTAGCTAGTACCATCCCTTCCCCCTCTCACAGTCCAACTGATGTGAAGGCAAGCCCATCCCGTTAGCCCAGGGTAATGATTGAGAGTACGGTCACACTTCCTTGGCATCCACAGTCACAGCTGTGGTCTCAAGATCACTGCAGCAAGCAGAGAAAAAGACAGTAGAGGTGTTGTGAAAAAAGGGGCCTGACATCCTCTCCTGCCCCACTTGTCATGGCCTCTAGGAAAGCAGAGGGGTCATTCAAGCAGGAATCCTCTGGGGCCTCACAAAGTTAGGTCCATATTTGTGAAGACTTCTATGCCACCTTTCATCTTTATCTCCTATTTTAGACAACAAATGTTTCAATTTCCCATTCCAGATCTCTGTCCATCTATCCTTCTCATGAAAACATTATATGTTCATTCGATGAGATACCTCTTTACCATCTTTGGATACTGTGGTCTCTAAAGTATATTTTTTTGGTCTAATGACATGTGATTGGTAATTGATCGAGTACAGTATCTTTTATTTGTGCATGCACAAGCACGCACGTGTGCGCGTGCGCGTGTGTGTGTGTGTGTGTGTGTGTGTGTGCACATGCATGTGCACGTGCGCATACTTGCTGTCCCTAAGACTTGAGCTCAAAACCCCGGTGCTCTCCCTTAGCTTTTTCTGCGTTCTGCTCAAAGCTGGCACTCTACCTCTTAAGCCACTCATCCACTTCTAACTTTTTGCTGACTAATTAAGGGTAAGAGTATTATGGACTTTCCTGCCCTGGCTAGCTTTGAATTGCAATCCTCAGATTTAGATCCTCAGCTAGGATTACAAGCATGAGCCATCAGTGCCTGAGTGTTGCAGTTGTTTTGTGCTTTTGCATCTATTACCAGGTTATGTAAAATTCAATCCAGAGTGTCCATTCTTCCCTTTATACCTTATAATGGATAGTAGTCCAGTTTGTAGTGTTCTTGACAGCTATGTTGAGCTTGGGAGTCTGCTCCTGGGAAATGTTCTGTAGTTATTTGAAGGCCCTTTGCTCTTGCTGACAGAGGGGACAGTTTTATTGGCACTTTCATATATCAAGAGCACAAGAGGAGTATGTTAGTGGCATTTAATCTCTATTGCTGCAGCTCCCTCCACCCAGTCTTGAACCCAGGTAGCCATTCTATTTTAACTGGTCTTTTTATTCTGATGAGCATCAACTTGTCCTATTTTAATGGCCTAAAAATTCCCATTCTAAGCCGGGCGCTGGTGGCTCACCCCTGTAATCCTAGCTACTCAGGAGGCTGAGATCTGAGGATCGTGGTTCAAAGCCAGCCCGGGCAGGAGAGACCGTGAGACTCCTATCTCCAATAAACCAACAGAAAACCGGAAGTGGCGCTGTAGCTCAAGTGGTAGAGCGCTCGCCTTGAGCTGAAGAGCTGAGGGACAGCGCCCAGGCCCAGAGTTCAAGCCCCACGACCGACAAAAAAAAAAAAAAAAAAAAAATTCCCATTCTGATGGCCATATCACTGTGTCTCCTTAATACTCTTTCTTTGTCTAGTTTTCCGTTGCCCATCTGCCTTTCCATACAACCTGAAATGACCACCCATTTATCAATGTATAACCAAATGTTCTATTTTTGGTGTCATTCGGTTCTCCTATCACTGTGAAGAAACAGCATTCAGTTAAGCATCCTGAAATGGCTTGTGCTTACTTCTTCAGTCAGAAATGAACCCTCTCGGCAGATTGGTTCTTGTCTTTTTCAGAGCTTTACATTATCAGTCAGTGTGGTAGCTTTCCAAAGATGCTTTTGTAGATCATAGAATTGATGTTTCTTCATACACAAAGTCACTTATTGGTTGGTCAGTTGAGAGCTCAGAGGGTACTTCCTAGGAACACAGATTGTGATGATGGTCTATGGCGGCTTCTCATTGGTTTCATTATGGAAGGAATAAAAGAGGGAGTACCTGCTCCTGAGCATGATGAGAACCTCCTTGCATTTCTCCAGCAGAACATTCTTGTTAACTATTTCTATATTATGGAACTCTTGGGGATACATTTTCCTTCTTTCCTCATTTCCTTGACATTATTTAAGACATGCAAGTACTTCAGGTTTTAAGATTGTGATTTATCCTTTAGTCGTACAAGTTTCAGTTAATGCCTGGGAGCTAGCCCGTAATTGCCTGTCTGTACTTTTGTGTCTGGAAATTTTCTGGCTCAAGATTCTAGTCATTGCTTCTAGTTAGCATTCTTGAGCTTTTTGGTCTAACCTCTAATTTGTGTGAGTTGAAGGAACTTAATAAATGCTGGTAAAAAAAATTTTAAATATGGAACACCCCTCTGTATGTCACCTTGACAATAAAATTAAATTTTAAAAAATCAAGAAAAAAAATAAGGAATCTACAAAGATAAAAGAAAATTTTGTTTCTATCTTCTCTGAAAATAACATAGAATCCTTAAATACTAGAATCTTGAGCATTGGCTCCCCTCAAATCAAGAATGAGACAGAGGTGTTTACTTTCCCCACACCTTCCCTAGCCAGAGAAACAAGAGTAGGGAACAAAAGGGGTCCAAATGTCTTAAGAAAGAACTCAGGTAATCTCTATTTGCAGACAGTATAATTCATTACTTACAAGCCTAAAGATTTCACCAGAAAACCTCCTAGATGATGATAAGCACTTCAACGAGATAGAAGACTATAAGATTAACATACAAAAATTAATAGCTTTTTAATACATCAATAACGGAGAGGCTGATAGAAAAATCAGGAAGACAGTTCTGTTAACAATTGACTAGAGAAAAAAAAAAAAACCTAACCAAGGAGCTGAAAGAGCTGTACAGTGAAAACTATAAAACCTTGAAGAAAGAAACTGTAAAAAACACTATAAAATGGAAATACCTATGTTTGTGGATTTGTTAAATTAATGTTGTAAAAATAAACCATTGTACTGAAAGCAATCCAGAAATTTAATCCTTGTCAAAAATGTTATTTTTGCAGAAATGTAAAATTTTGTTCTAAAATGCATATCAAGCATAAAACACCCCAAATAATCAAGAGCAATCCTGAACAGGAAGGATAAAAGAAACAAATGCTTTTAGACATAATGTATACAGGTTTCAGTTACCTTCTGATAGATAGATTCATCAAGGTAGACCTGTGGTCAAACTGGAGAAAATTATTAAGCAGAGTAAAGGAATCTAGTTAAGTAACCTCGAAGCTGTTACTATTTATAAAATGTACAATTTAGAATTAAGTCTTCTGTATATAACCTGTGGTCCCTTTTTCAATAGCTGGTTTTCTTTTAAGTAGACTTAAAAGACGTATGCTCTTTACTGAATTACATCCTGTATATCCCCTGGAAGCATGGAAATACTAACTACTACATGCTAAAATACTGCCTGATAAGCCATTCCTTAAAAGGAAAATGGTACTATTTCATTTTCCCAGTGTATGATATTTTTGGTGTTTATTTTACATTATTATTAATATAGTTTGATCAAGTATGGGTGAGTTATATGTGTCCGGGTCTTCTGACATATTATTGTTTTGCTTTGTGTGGTGGTAATGGCTGTATACAATAATGGAAGCATGCCAGTGTATTTTGTACCTGAGTATAACTGCTGCTAAGTTCGGAAAAATGGTGAAAATGCCTACAGCATGTACTGATAGGTTGCTTTTTTCTCTTTAGGATGAAGTGGCACACACTCTAACTGAAAGCAGAGTATTAAAGAACACCAGGCATCCATTTTTAACCGTAAGTGCCTGGGGCCCCTGGTGATAGTCCTAACAGACTTTGTAAATAACATTTGTGTAGATGTGGGAAGCCCATAAATTGTTGGAATACAGGAGTTAAATTTATCATATCTATTAATTTATAATCACTCCTGTTACCCACTTGAAACTTTTTCCCTTCCCATGATTATCCTTGCCATTAAGAAATAATAAAGAGCAAATAGATGATGGTGGCATTTTAAAGAGTTCACTGGTACAATGGTAGACTTAAAACACCTTTGAAATATTAAATGTAAATTTTGTTTATTTTGCTTATTGGCTTCAGATAAATATTTAAATGATCAGGTAGCATTCTCTTCAGATTCATAAATCATAAATGAATTTTACCGATGTTCAATGTTGATAAGTCGCCATACTATTTCTTCCCTTGACAAAGTATAAGCTGTGTCTTAATGCATTATAAATGTGATACAAGAACAATTGTAAAGTTCCTCTATCTATGTTCCTGACTCCAGTGAAGTACATTCAGATTATGATTAACAGACAGACTTCCAGAAATCTTTTACTAAAAATTTAGAAATACTTGAAATGGAAACTTTCAAGGGTATCCTTAGATACCTGGATTTCCTGTGTTACTTTATTACATGTCGATTATCTGTTGTTGCATTGTTAGAAACTCCAACGTGTCAACAGGATCTGTTTTCCTGTGGAACTTGCACTGGAGTAATTTGCATGGATGAGAACTTTGATTACCAACAGTTTCAGAGAGATGGGGTAATGGATTGAGCGGTTTAATTTTACTTACAGTCTTAGTTTTCCCCCTGACAATACAAAATTTGCTTTATGTTTCTTATAAACTCTTCTGTAAGCCCACAGTAAGTGGACTGTGAAGGAACTTCATGTTCCTTAACTCCCGATGTTCCTTTCCGGTTTCTCATCAGTGTTGTCTCATCAGTTATGCTTACAGTTTTTAAATGTTCTCTTTTCATACTATTATAATGGTAAGAATATAGGATTATAACTTTTTTTTATTTTTCATTTCAAGTCCTTGAAATATTCCTTCCAGACAAAAGACCGTTTGTGTTTTGTGATGGAATATGTTAATGGGGGAGAGGTGAGTCAAAAGCAATCCGGCGTTTCATCCTAGTAACTTCTCATTATTTCAAACATTACTTAAAATACAAGTTGTACTAATTTACTACCCGATAGAGATTTGTGTAACTCTCTCTACTATTGTGTAGATGAGACCTTAATAATTTCTAATGAAGTATTATGAGTGCTTTTTGTAAGTACATTTATAGATTGGAAAAGATAATTACACTTTTCCTATATTTAAGCATTTTAAAAGTCTTCCCACAGTATGATTTTTGAAATTGTTATTAAATTTTGAAAACCAGAAATGTAAGATTTATTATGTTTTATAAAGTTTTTCATCAAGTGGGTTTCCTGTGAAACTTGTTTCTATGTTAGTAAGTTATTTTACCTATTTTAAACTAAGGAGAGCAATATTTCATAGGTAAATTGTGATGAAACTTTTTCTTCTGTGTAGTAGTTAAAGCATCATGATTAGACTTAAGAGATTTAAGAGATCTTACAGTTTTGAATAGAAATTCAGTCACTAGTAGCACTTTCTCTTCCCGATTTTTGAACAAACTTCTTCTTCTTCCCTATTTTTGAACAAAATTAATGTAAAGGCAAATGTAATTTATACTAACAATTAACTGGAAATATTTTATATTGTGAGCTTTCTGAAATAAATTTAGTTATTATATTGAGGTCTGTATGTATCTCATGGATATTGTCATTGGCCAAAATAAATATTGTTTGTGGACACTTTTTCCTGTAGATTTGTATGCTTGTATAGGAATTACTTTATTTGAAGACTTCATTCAGTAAATACATTTTGAATACCTATGCAGTGTGAGTTTATCTAAATGTTTTAAGACATTACCCTTGCCATGAAGGAATGTATAATTTTGTCTTAGGAGTACATTATAAATCAGAATGTCTAAAACCTAAGGACTGTTGAATTCACGAAAGGGAGTAAATTGTGAATGATCTAGCATTTAAGGTAGACTTTTTGAAATGTCAGCAGGTTTGATTTGAGATGCTTCCAGCAGAGAGGATGATGTGTCCCATTACAGATAGATGTGCCTAAGGCAGGAAAACCTTGAGCTGTAGAATAATAATAACCCAGACATGTAAAATGTGGTGCTTACAAGTCAGATATCTGAAAAAAAATAGGAAAAAGATGAATGTCTTAGAACTGTAGGATTGGCACATATTAACAGCTAGTTAATTGGATATGGATAGGAAATAAAGAGACATGAGATTTGCTTGAAATCTGAGAAAATTAACCAATACAGTGAAGTTATGAAGAACTTAAATTTTGGGGTAAGATTAATAACATTTTCAAAGGTTTTTCCTAAGGTTCTGAAGAAATATATGTATGGCAGTATCACAGAAATTAAGTAAGGGAAGCATCCCCAAGGAGGTTGTAGTTTACCTAGGGAGATAGAAGTTAAATTAAGGAAGTATCCAGAAGTCTCTGTCAATATCTTATCAGTATCTTGATTAAAAGGCACATATTTTTGTATTCAGCAGTTCCACTTCCAGGCATTTGTTTATAAACATATCATGATCCATAAATAAATATGTTCACTGCAACATTATATTACCTTAAATGAATGTTTAGTAAGAAGTCTTCTCAGGTAAATGGTGTTGAAGCCACGCAGTAGAATCTCAGTATCCATTAAATACAATGAGGCAGCCCACTCTGAACTAATACGAGTGAGCAAAGCAAGATGGGAAGTTTGAAGCATTGTGCTAAAAGACAGTAAGACCATGTTCATATATATATATGTTTGTGTGCATTATCTCTGTGATTATGCACTGGGTATTATGGCTTGCCTTTGGGTAGATAATCTGGGTGGCTGGACACAGGGTGGAAGGAAGACCTATTTTCCAATTAGGTATTTGTAGCTTTCATATTTTGTGCCATTTGCAGATATTATTTAATAACTTAAAATAGTCAGATAGGTATATGGTTGACCAAGGAGAAAATAATATAGAGAAAATGATTAATTCAGTCAGAAGCTTGAACAGCACGCTTCTAATGTCTTTCCAACTTTTTTATATGATCTCCTGTATTTACATATATGTATTACTTACCAGATTGTTTTATAGTAAGGATATCTTAGTATAATTTACAAATACCTACCTACTGGGTTGTGTACAAGATACTCTGGTAAATATTATGGGATGTACAAATCAGAGTTCAGCATAGATTTTTACCTCAGAGAGTCTATAGTCTATGAAGAAGATAAGATAACAATTATTGCTAAACGATGTGTATGACTAGTGTTAGATACACAAGTGAAAGGCCATGCATCTTCATAGGCAGGACCCCTGCATGATGGAAGGAGAGCTTTCTGGAGGGAACCAGCATACACGTAAACCTAGAAGACTTACAAATGCTTTAATTGATGATTGTTGAGAAAAATTATACAAAAGCAGATTGTCACACTAGCCAGATGCTTTTCTTTTGCATTAAAGAACATGTTTTACTTCTTTTGTTTGACATGTCTTAGGCCTTTTCTACTTTTTTTCTCCTGCCCTGCTTCCTAAATTTTTGTTTGGGAATAAACTATAGGTTAGGACCAAATTGTTTCAAATTTTGAAGCTGGAGAAAAGATTCTATATCTGACATGTAATAAGTGCAACGGTAATAGTTTCAGCACTGCCATGTCTGGAGGGAGGGAGAAACTATTGTAGTGAAAGTGACATCTTTATATTATGTCATGGTTTTTTAAAAATTCTTTTAGATGAACAGATGTACTTTGGGTTAGGTGTAGCTCGGTAAGGTTAATTTGCCCAACATCAGTGTGTGTTACCATAGTCATTGTCAGCCTGCTTTCTTCCCTCCCTTCCCTGCCTGTCCCCTTTTACTTTTTTTCTTTTGCCAGTAGCAGGGTTTGAACTCAGGGCCTGGAACTAGCTATTTGGCTGATGCTTGAGCCATGCCTCCAGCCCAGCATTTTTGTGCTGGCCCTGGGTTTGAAGTCAGGGCCTAGGCATTATCCCTTAACTTTTTTGCTCAAAGCTGGTAGTCTTGACACTTGATCCATGCTTCCACTTGCAGCTTTTGGATACACAATTAGAAATAAGAATCTAATGGGCTTTTCTACCTGGGCTAGCTTCAAACCTCAATCCTTAGATCTCAGTCTCTTGATTAGCTAGGATTATAGGTGTAATCCACCCGTGCTCAGTGTGTCTTTATGGTCACACTATTTTGTGTTTTAGGTTCACTTTAGCATTTTTTTTCTCCTCAGGAATGCTTCCTAGAAATGCAAAAACATCAATTGCTATAGAAAAACAAATATAATTGTAATTGTGTTCATGAATAAGGAGGAATGCTATGAACAATTCATACCAGCATTTGTACCCCACATATGACCTGTCCAGTAATTATCCATGTTGGCCCAAATGTCAGTATGTATTTTATAAGGTCATTGCTGCCTTGGTTTTTACTGGTGGCTGTGGCACAACAGAGCGCTTGGATCAATGTAGAAGGAAAAGAGAAATGGAAAAGAGAGGGTGCCAAGGAAGAGGAAACTTTGCAGTGTTGATTAAGGCTATGGAGCTGTCTCAGTTATATCAGTAAGAATGTGAAAGAGGCCATCACTGTGCAGAGGTAGGCAGGCGCCTCTCTTTTTCCCAGACACCCAGAAGAGCAGAGTGTGAATGAGGCATAAAGCCTTGCAGACACAACCAGGGAAGAAAAACCACGAGTCAGGGCCGCATTGGGCTAGTTCTCTACAGAGTCATTTAGGTTTTGTCCTGAAGGCAGAAGGGGCATCTTAGGAGAGTGTCTGTGAAAAAACATTTAGAAGGAATACTTAGTAGGAGTACAAGACTTAAACTGAAGAGGGAAAAGATGGGATCAGGGAAGATACTGGGAGGCCTAGACCTTAGGTTTTCAGTAATCTGATTATAAAAGCTGACCCTACAGTAATCTGACCCTACAAGAGCGGGGTCACCACTTGAAGGCAGTGTTAGTGAAAAGAAATCACATTAGGATGATATCTCAGTACATCCTAATGTGATATCCCACATTAGGATGATATCTAGTACTTGCTAGAATGTAAGGACTACATACAGAGAGAAATGCTGTATTATGTTTTTTGCTAGGTTATATTGGGTTATTCATAAGGGTAGGAAACATGCCCTGTGCCTGAAATCCTAGCTACTCAGGAAGCTGAGATCTGAGAATAGCGGTTCAAAGTCAGCATGGGCAGGAAAGTCTGTGAGACTCTTACCAACAGCTAACCACCAGAAAATCAGAAAAAGGGAGAGGTGGCATTGTTCAAAGGGGTAGAGTGCTAGCCTTGAGCGCAAAAGCTCAAGGACAGTGCCCAGGCCCTGAGTTCAAGCCTCACAACTGACCCCCCCCAAAAAAAAGATAGGAAACATGAGAAGAGAAATGAAATATGGCAGAGTTCACAGGGTTCACTCAGAGGTACAGTAGGCATCACCAGCAATGCTAAAACCAAGAAGGTAAAAAATAGTAAGGGTTGGAAAAGTATGTAATGCCTAAGTATCCATGGTTTCTCAGCCTCAGTACTCAAAGAAGAGCGGCCTCAGGAAGATATAGGGCAGAAGGAACTAGGCAGGAGATGCCTTAGAAGTTTAGGGGAGTAATATCGTGTAAGGTAACAATGGGGGTATGTTCATTGCATGGTGCTGCTGGTTCCTTTTTTTAAGTTGGTGCAAGGTATGTTCCTTGGATAAAGTACAGAATATACAAGATTGGTAGGCAACAGTCAGGAAAGTAAGTTCAGTGCAACGTGGTGGGCAGTAAATCAGCATCTGTAGAATTAACCATAGAATACTTCACTCACACTGCTGCTGACATGTTTATGCCACTGTTTTAATAGCTTAGGTGTTACTGATTTACATCAGAAACAAAAAATGCCCTGGGTTGAAACTGAAAACTGGTGATATTCCCTTTGGTTTAGGAAGTCCCTAGTTAAAACTCACCCCCAAATTTTTTTCACACCTATATTTCTTTCAAGCCTGTAAATTGTATTTCCATGATCTCTCACCTGTTTGAAA